TGGAGAGCGGTTTCTGATTATTATTATTTTGATTGCTATTAGCAGCCGGCTGGCTTTTTTTTTCCTCATTATTATTCTTGCTACTAGCTGATGATTCTTTAATCTTTACTCTTTGGGCACCACCTTAAATAGATAATATTTATATTTTGAGCTAGAATATTATCATAGTTATCATAGCCAAGGTGGGAAATATGTGAAGAATTCATTTACCAGCAAGACTCAACAAAACGCCATTTCCCTTAGCTGCTACAGGAACGGTTTGTGCTTTTTTAGGTCTAATCGGCACTCGTTGTGCGGATGCAGAAAATATTTGGGTATTATTTGCGCCATTATTGACACGTTCAGCAGATGTCAACTTAGGTTTTGTCTTGAGGGGGCTATTAAATCCTGGATTGACTAACGAATTAGGTTCATCAAAAGTGATGACAAATGCTGTTGCGGCGGTAGCTGTATTTTCTTCAGGTGACGGAATATGAGATGATGACGATGACGAAGATGATGATGTTGCGAGATTTTGAGGTTTCAGATTTTCCACAGACTTTTCTTTTTCAATCCTTCTAGGTGGTACTCTAATATCTATATGAAAATTATCGTCGTTATCTTTATGTGATGATAATGATTTTTCACTTTCTGTCGTTGTATTTTCTATTTTATTATTATTTGTTGGAGGATTCTTGACGAATATAACGATATCATTTTCCTCAATCGGTTGTTTTGGTATTTCTTTTCCTATCATCGCAGAGTTGAATCTACGAATTGGAGGACGCGCGGATTTATTTGATTGTTTATCTTGGAGTCCGAGGTATTTCTGAGCGGTCGAAGACAAAGTATCAACAAAACTATTTTTAAAGAAATCATTGAAGGATATCTAATACTTATTAAAAATATTAATGTACGGGTCAAATTGGGTCACTTGTTTTTGATATCTGACTTACTCTTGAATCCGCAAATCAAATTTCAATTTGAAGATTTCAAATGTCTTTTTCGAGGTTGACCGGACAGCCGGGGTAGAGTCAATGGCGCCCTCACGTATAGCCCACTCCAAATCCGCAATATATTTAGACAACGCGCCAACATCATTAACCTCTAAACTGACGAGGATGAATTCGGCGGCACTCGTCCTCAACGTTTTGTTCTGATCCTTTAACGCTTCTTTAAATTTCGGGATGAGTGCAGGAATCTTGCAGTTTCGTATAATTGTCATGATAGATTTTTGGGCGCGCGTAATAAACACTTTGTTTGTGCGAGCGCAAAGCTTTAGCAGAGCGGGAAAAAAGAAATCCACCAGAGTCTCAAACTTTGGCCCAAGACATCGACCAAGCTCCTCAACAAATTCACATGCTGCTCCCGATAGACGCGTACGTTCTGTGGCTAACTATTTTATTGGATCATTGTGAATAGTTTCAACATATAAAAACACGCATAGTAATAATGATATATAAAAGTTTTAGGATGATCACCAGGATTTCTTTGTAGTAGTATTAGTAGTAAGTTTCACTTATGTATATGAAAGCCTACCGAGTTCACTATAGGCACTCTCAAGGATTTGCTGGATGAAATCAAAATATTTTCGTACGTTCCTCCTATTTCACGAGTTAACACCGCCAAACGTTTCAGCTCCTTCTCAAGTAGTTGCCAGGTATGTTCAGTTTCTTTTTCTTGAAGAACCTCAGAAATCTTTTTAAGTTCGGCTTCAAATTGTGTGGCACTTTCAATCTTTAAGAAATTCCCAATATCCCGACGCGCGAATAAACATAAAAGAGAGTAAAAAACGCGAGAAATTTTAAACATTTGTATCCTAAAAGGGTGGTAATGTTTGTTTGATGAACAATTTGTGAAAAACATCTGCCCACCTTTGCGCCAGACATGCTGTGTGAACGCGCTACTTTTTCGAATAAAATAGTCGTTAGTTGTCAAATTGAATAACGTGAAAAATAACAAAGAAAATAATTGGTACGCCTCACATTTTTTTTTTAATACCTATAAAGAGAGAACGAGATTCTTTTTTATAATCCACTCGCCGGGATGGCTCAAAAAAATGACTTATAATTTTATAATTTAAGTGTATGGTGTGTTATGCAAATGTATGTTAGTTGGCTATTTTGCCTTTATAGTAAGTGAGGTGTTTATAATGTCTCCACGAGAGTGTAAACAGAATTTTTTATTGTTACAAATGCTTTATGATTGGTACACAAAATTTTTTTGAGATGTTGTCGATCAAAATATCATTACAAATTAACTGAGTTATGTGTGTGTGATACCCCAATGGCGCATTCGATGTTCGCTTTATATGATAATAATAATGGTACTATAATTAGTTGCCGGGTAATTATAATTTAATATTCTAGTGGGTTCCGGATTCCGCGTATTTCAGGATGTCGTCAGATTCATTTATAATCTGAACACACGTACACACCTTGCTTTGGAAAACTATAAATTTTCGGTGTTTTTAAGAACGAGAGGAAATAGATTTTAATTTAACAGTCTCTACCTACAATAATAAAATATTGCACCTCCTTTACTAAAGATTCTCGTTCCGTATAAAAATCACATTTACTTAACACCTACGCACATATCTTTTTGGTAAATACGATAAATACAAAATTAGAGAAGCTTCGGTATAAATACAATATAAATCGAAGATGGAATTTCCAGATTTAGGCGGACACTGTCACAAAACAAGTTGCAAACAGCTAGATTATCTACCGTTTAAGTGTTCGTACTGTAAAAATGCATTTTGTCATGAACATTCAAAACCGCAGGACCATGACTGTCCTTCAGCACCACAAGGAGACGGTGCGCGAGTTCCGACATGTCCTATTTGTAACGCACCTGTTCCGGTAAATAAAGGAGAAGATCCGAATATACGGGTAATATTAAATTTTAAGACTCAAACTTTTTTCATGTGTTTTACTCCGAAACAAAATACGGTTTATTTATTAATCTCACTCATCATTGTCAAATGAAAAGATGGAACGACACATTGCAAATGACTGTCGACCAGCACCGAAAACCACATCAACCAAACCCTTCAATTCCTGCTCCGTTCAAAATTGTAAACAGCGTGTCGCTGTAAAGTTACTGTGTTCAGGATGCGGCAAGAACTATTGTATTAAACATCGACTAGAGGTTGATCATATGTGTGAAAAAGTAAAGAGTCAAAATAGAGCGACGAGTATTTCACGGTTGACAGGGAATTCTTCCGGTAAGAATTCTGGTGATAGCACCACTACAACTTCTAATCACATGAAACCAAAGCTTACTGTCAAGAATTGGATGAATAAACTGTTTAATAGGAAATGATTTTGGCTGTTTAGTCAACATCTTGATGAATGATAACATTAATGTTGATTTGTTGATTTTCTATTTATTATTTGTAAAACTGATTTACTTACCTTTTTTTCTTTTCTAATTTTAATAATATAATAATAGTGTACAGAAAGAAGATTTTGAGTTTTTAATTTATCATCCTATACACAATTAGATAACCACTTATTTTATCGATTTTATCTTGTAATATACACGCATATACATATATGGTTAGATTATCAAAACAACATGCAATAAATAAATAAAACATCAAATTAATAGGATTCAACATTGTTAAGTCGCATGACGTTTCTTATGAATATCTTTATGTCTAAAAAAAGCTCACAAATACCGATACCCTATTCAAATTGGGAATTTTTTTGAATTCACATACCCCAACTCTGGTAATTTCAGGTTATACCCAGATAAAAATTGGACCCAGCTTATCCCCGGCACTTTAAGGCAATCTATAAAGTGAAGGCTTAAACTAATATTAGCGTTTACATAGCGATAAATGGATCTTGGCGATCCAAGCCAAGATTTTGTTTGTAGCGCAGTGAAAAAAATTTTGATTTCTAGCGGATAGTGACAAAATAGATACGTAATAATAATTTATTTATTCTGTGCTTTTGATAAATTTTTTTTAATTTATTGCGAGAACAAGTTTCAATTCATGAAGCGAGTGTCTTACTAGATACACGATCAATTTATCTCATCATAACCTATACAGGTATTATCATGTGTTCTATCATAATTCGGCATTACGATAATTCTGACCGGCAATCTTTGTTAACGATGTCATGATAAGATTGAAATTTGATATAATGCACCCCTGGTTATCTAAGCAATTTTTTGAAGTTACAAGCCTTTCGTTATAACCGGATACTAAATGATATTTCTTCAGAGATGGCTTAATTTTAGTTTTTCCCGAGTATTATGATAGAATCTACTTCATTACACCGTATTCATCAGCACTGACCAGAATTAATAATTTGGAGTTGAAATTTTCCAAAAATTGACGCTCGCTAAAAGTAGAGCAAGCGCCCCAAATATCGGTTGATTAATGGTTGTCGGCAGGTGTACCCTCGGATTAGCCTCATTGAGCACCCCATGCCCTCCCGATAAGGACGTAAAGAAGAATATTGATTATGGGGTGTCTATTATAGTTAATTTTGGGGTGCTTGTAAATTGTGGGATATTTTTTATTTGGACACGTGAATTTTGAAAACTTTCGCGTTAGAATTTTATAACGAAAAAAATGACACATGATACGCAGAAATTCTTTTTGTGCTCTTTGAATTCACGCAATCTATGAAAGTAAAGATCGTGAAGCTAAGACGGTGGGAGGGGGGGAAACCCAAAGATCATCTGATAGTTCTGCTTCAAAAGTAAAAAGGCCTCGAGTAAGGTGTTAAGTTACTACTTGGCTGTTGAACAAGATACTCAGATTCAAGGAAATTATATTTATAAAATGTATTAAAAAATATAAAACGTTGGTCGAGAAGAGGCTGCCACAAGTTCTGGAAATAAAGGTAATTCTAGCATTACACAGCATTGAATTAATTTTCTTAGGGAATTCTTTCAACTGTGCTATATAAATCTATCACTAGAGAAAAGTAAAAAAGAAATTTGAATTAATGAAATTAACACATTTGATAACTCAAAAGCGCAATTTAACCTACCTTCTGCGAACCCCTCCTTTATAGCTTGTTCAAAGTAAATATATCACGTGCATTATTGAATAAGCAACGTCACGCGTAGCAAGTCACGTGGAAAAAGTTTTTATTATTTATAAGACTATATACAAATTATATATATATATATATACATATATCTACTGCATACATTTACTCACTTCGCTAATAATACATGAAACTTCCAAAGACCTATTCCTTTGAAGGTGAAATCTCTAATTAGTGATAATGAAGAAAAAAGGAGTGAGAAAAAAAGGAGGTGAATAATGTTTACTTGATCAGAATCAAAAATGACTAGCTTATATTTTTGTCTAATTGACAAATGAAAGGAGTATCTTCTATTACATTAAAAATGGTTACTATAAAGGAAAAATAAATAAAGTTTCTATTAAGAGTTTATGATGTCATTAATGAATCGGGCTGTTCATAATTGCAAATCTTATTTACGGCGTCTGTTAATCTTGAAAAGAGGAGGAAGGAAAGAAAGGAATGACCGGGAATATGGAATCAAGGGGGAGTTTTATGTTTGTGTTTTGTGTGTATGTGTAATTGATAATTTACAAAAAAATACTGGTTAATCAAATAAAGTTTGCTTCAAAGTCAAAAGTAAAATAAGTTTAAATTATAAACACACACACTCGCACGTAAATGTAACGCTTTTAATATTTCTTTTTTTAATGTGACATAATATGAAATGTATATAATCTTTTTTGGTCAAATAAGAAAAAAATCAATCCAACAAGTAATTAAAAAAAAAAAAGGAGAAAACATTGAATCAACACAAAAACACCAGCTAAACTGCTTGATCTTTAAAAAAAAACTCAATCAACTCGTTTTTTTTTGCTTTACTCATAAGAACATCAAAGAAAAAAAAAAATACAAAAGAAATAGCGTGACAAAAAAAAAGGACCAAAAAAATGTACAATACAAAAAAAGGAAGCAGAGTATATGGATGATATAGATGATTATAGATGATGAATGTATGGTGAATAATACGTGAATGAATTGAAGTACAAGAAAAGTTAGAGAACTAAATTCCATTCCATTACATACAAGATGATGATGAAATGCGAAATGCGTGATTGGAAATTCTTAATTTGGTGATAGGAATGAGATTATTTTTTCATATTTGCGAAAAGGGAAATCTTAATTATAATGAAATGAAGAAAATGTGTATGTAAGGTAAGTCTATTAATATAAAAACTATCTTTGATGGTATTATAATTGCTCTTGATCACCATTCATCACCTAAATCATTGCTATTCATACACAACCCATCTAATTTTTTCTTTATGCAAAAAAAGAAAAAGAAAAAGAAAAGAAAAATTAAAATGATAGTGTTCAGAAAATAAAAAAATATGTACAAGAAAAATTTGCCTCGATCTTTGTAATTGAATGGGATGAAGAAGTGGTAGTGTGATGGAAGGGCAGAGAGGAATCGGTGGTGCGACAAAGATATACATAAAAGATGATGATCTATATCTATTAATATATTCTATCTATATTAAGCGTACCATTTTTTTTAAAAGAAAAATTCTAAATCTAAAAATAAATAAAAAAGAAGAATTTTGTTGTAAAATTATTTTGTCAAGAAAAAAATTAAATGTTTGATGATAATGCATTATTATAATGGTGCAGGTAATAAACCATCACAATTAATATTATAGAATATCCTCTCCACCACTTTGCCATCCTCTTTTCCCCGCATTCAGTTTCTTTAAAGTCCTAGCAAGCGACGATTTCCCAAATCTTCTACCTACCATACTTTGTTGCCTAAGGGATCGTTCGCTTATAACCCGTTCGAATGAATTCATCATTGTGTAATCTTCATCCTCTGTGAATTCTGCTGCTGAATAATGACCGATCAGAGGAAGTACACGATCTTCTCGATCTGATAGTATCGCGTCCAGCATTTCATCGTCATCGAGTGCATTATCTTGTTTAGCATCTCCTTCACCCCGATTATTTCCACTACCAATGCCACGATTAGTATTTAGCCCGACATTTTGTCGTGAATTTGACGATGACGAAGGATTCGCATTTGCAAATTCATCGGGTATTGAGGAGTCCACAATTTCTTCGCTTGTTCGACTTTGTACACAGTTTTCACTTCCTGTACATACAGAAGAAGTTTGTTCTTCTTCCTCTTCGTCACTGAATCCTTCTTCACAATGTTCAGGTCCCGTCACTCTAATCCGTACTGGATCTTTATTCTCTTCAACACTGCCCCCTTCTTGACTTACACTTTCATTACTTCCACTATTTGTGCTTGTCACGCTACTTTTACGCTCGTGCAGTGAATGAACCGAAGTTCTTCGATGATTCCTATTTAGTAATAAAAGTTGTTGCAGTCTTCGATCTTCAATATTCGATTCGGATCCTGTTTGCTGTTGTGGTGCTGATGGTGGTGACAATGGTCGTTGAGGAGGAGATTGTATTTGCTGTAACCTTTGTTTTTGTTGTAATTGCAACAGCTGAAGCTGCTTTTCTTTTTGCAATTGTAATTCCTTTTCTTTTTCCAACTCCTTTTGTAATTTTTCCTCTCGTGCTCGTTTTTCGTTTTGGGAAAATTTTTCCCTTCGTAAGTCTTTTTCGAGATCATCGATCTGTTTTTGTTTTTGTGCCAACGATGCTCGTAATAACCGCACTTGTTTTTCTTGTTTCTCGTGTTTCTCTTCCATTTGCTTTACTACCGTTTGATTTTCGTTCTCCAGGGCATTAATATTAGCCAGTAATTTTTGTTCATTTTCTTTGGCGACAGAAAGTTCGTCCTCAAGTCCAGCTATTCGCTCATTTAATTCACGAATTTTAGAGTAATTGCCAACCGATTCATTGTCATCGGAATTTTCATTGACCTCGTGCAACGATGGCGTTTGCTTATGGGATTCTGTCGAAACAGAAATGTCATCTCCATCTTCCAAAGATCCCACCTTTCTTACATCTTCAAGATTCCTTCGTGTTATATTCGTTGTCATACCAACGCTACCATTACCACCAGCAGCCAATTGTTCTTTTAATTTTTGATTTTCCGCGCGTAATCTCAATATTTCAGTTTCCTCTTTTTCCAATCTCTCCATCGTTTCACTAAATGTCGTCTGCAATTCCTTCCCTTGCATCTCCATCTCCTTCACCTTTCCCGTCCATTTCTGTATCTCCTCGGTGAATTTAGATTGCGCATCGCGTAACAGTTGATTTAACTGAAACGAAGTTTTCGATTCCTTACGCAACGCGTCTTGCAACGTTTGTATATCAGATTCGAGCGCCGAAATATCCTCATTGTGAGTTTTTTGTAGGTCGCGATACGCTTGCGCGGTGCTATCGTATGCTTTTTGTAGGTTGCATCGTTTCTCGCGTTCCTTGTTTAGCAGATAGAGCAAGGATTTGGTAGTGGTCGATGTTGCGTCTTCCATGTTGTTGCTTTGTGTGGTTGGTACATGAGCTGGTAAAGAATGTCTCTGTGTGGGATTTTTTTGATAATTAGAATCAAAAAAATTATTACTATTATTATCATACATATATATATATAAAAAATCTGGATTTCCTTTTTATTCCTGAATGAACAAGTTAAGACTAATGACATTTGTATTATTATTTTTTGTTTTATTATTATTTATTAGATGGTAGTTACCCCACATAAAACAGGGTGGTGGCGTGTGTGTGTTTGTTTGCGAGAAGAGAGGGGGATTATAATAGAAATATAATACAATACAAAAAAAAATAAAACACACATGGTTTGGTTTGAGCAACTCGTCGTCCGTTTCACATTTCTTGGTTCCTATTGTTGTGGTAGCAGTGGTGGTTGTAGTAGCCGCCGTCGCTGATATTGTAGTCCGCCTTCTTCGTTGTTGGGTTATCGATGGCGTCGCTTCCTCGTCGTCAGTGTTTCTGCCATACTGAAACCTTCTGCTTGGGAGATATGAGGGAGGAAGACCGGCAGCATTACCGGAAATTGTTGTCCGTCTAATGCTACTTCGGTTAATGTTGTTTTCCAACCGCGACTGTATTAAGAAAGCATCGACGTTTTCTTCCTCCTCGTCGTCCTCGTATGATGAGGCACTGGAAGAAGCTAGCAAATTTTTTGATACCTGGTGTGGTTTTTGGTTTTGGTTATTGAGAAGTTTTGGAATTTGATGTGGTTTTTGTTTCTCGAACTCTCGAAACAACCGTGTCGGCTGTCGTATACGAGAAATTGAGGTTGCATTTGTTGTTGAAGAAGAGTATCCGTCTGTCATTGCAGATATGCATATACGCACGCAAATTTTGGTGTGGGCTCTTTTTCAGTAATTCTACCGCATCTACGTCTAAGTCTAATAGTAATACTCTAGTTACTAAAGCGTGAGAATAGCTCTCGAGTTTTTTTCTCCTTGTTGGGTATATTGGGTATCCAGCCAACCCGTGTATGTCAAATGATAAATAATACTAATTCTTATTAGATTAGTATTCAAAATATTATATTATTAATATTATTAAAAAAAAAGTTTCTCGAACTTCTTCTAAGTAAGATGTTGAATAGTATTCTATCTATTTATATGTGTGTATATAAAAATATAATAAGTTTATTTTTTTCTAAAATGTTCGCTAAATACTATACTTCTTTTTATTTCCTTTTTTCCAGAGCGGCAAAATTAAAAAGATAAGATTCCTGCTGCATCAAGGACAAGAACAGTATGTGTATGTGAGCGTATGTGTGTGTGCGGATGCGGATATAATGGATGATAATATTATTATTGTGGGGGGACTTACGTTAATTTGTTAAGTTTGGATATTTAAAGTAAATTTTTTAGGTGATTATTGTGACGATTAATACAGGTTTTTTTTTGGTGGTGTGGTTTGGACCTCTTCGGTCTTGGCTTCGGGTTGGTCACTTTTATTCAAATTTAAATTTCTATATATTTTGTGTGTGTGTGTGTGTATATTAATTATTTGTATGATTTTTAATTTAAGATTGTCTGTCGTGTTTCGCGTTTCCCTGTTATTCTTGTATTGGGTTATATTATTATTATTATTATTATAATCATTATTACTACTGCTATTATTTATAGAGTATGCGTAAATATCTCATATTTTTTTGGTCAACACTATTGACTATATGAAAACGTCCGTGACATTAATATGATTCTCCGCATTCTCATTCTTTGACACCTTGCGATAATAATAGAATAGTAATAATAGCCGGTGATAAACTCTAAATTCTTAGTTCTTTGTCTTTTATTTCCTAAATAAATCACTAATTCAGGCAATAGAACAATAAAGATCTCATAGACGAAAAAGAGTAACGTCACTATCGTCGCCATCTTCATCATCACTTCATCATCACTACGATCATTCGTTAGTTCACACTTTTCTTTCTTCTCTGATACTTGGGAGTGTTTTCATTCTATCCTCGACCTTTTCTTCCCTTGCGTCCCTCCCTTCCCCCCTTGAAACCTTTTTTCAAAAAAAAAAAAAAACGCCAACTCACTTCAAATTTTTTTTTTTGCGTTTGTTCTTACATTATATACACCCGAACGCTTTGTTCTCGGTTGGTTACTGCAAATCAATCATACATGTTGGTTAATTTAATTAATATATTTGTAATTTGTTGTGGAAAATTTGGAAACATTTGGTCAATTGAAAAAAAGAATAATGTACACTTTAAAAGTGATTCTTTTCACGAGACACACACATACATACATACGCATCTATCATACATAATATCATACATGCATACACATACACATACATCATGATTACACATTATATAATATTTATATTATTGGCACATG